TAATTCTTGCTGGCACAGGAAGAATTGATAAAACAGAACATAAGGGAGAATATGAATCACACCATATTCTACCAATTTCTTATCACACAAACCAACAATAACCATGTAAGAACGTGCAAACGGGACAAACAAAATACACCATTTTTAATTTAATCATGCAAAGAGAAGCAAGACCTACACAGTTTCAAACTAAATATACTACCAATTTTGCATACCATTCTGGTGCTTGTGAATAAGTACCATTCAGTATAACCTCTTTTTTTTTTCCCCCCTCTTCTTCTCCTATTCTCAGAAAATCCATTTTCAATCAATAAGTACTCTCTAATCTGATCTTGGCATCTCTAGAAATTTATCTTCAAAACAGGATTTACAGAGAGCTTTCAGTACTGAATTATTTTGCACAGTGACCAATGCAAGCAGCTAGAGCCAACAATAAATTGCCAACAAGTATAAAGGAAGTATAATTGAAAAAGACCATTGTTTTTCCTCAGAATTCAAGAAAGTCTGCTATGCACAATTCAAAAGAACTCACAAAAGTCAAAATTCACACAAAGAAGACATAAATTATTCCATCTTCCATTTATAAGAAATAAAAGGAAAGAGCAGTCTTCTTATCTTTGTAAATATTACCTGTGATGGGTGGCAATCTCTCAGAACGCTTAGCATGCAGGAGCTTTCGACTAATAAATATATAGCCACAGGGACACGATTTACATGCAACAGGAACCTGGGAAAACAAAAAAGAGAAAAATACTTCAAATCATTTCAAGGTATCACAGAGTTCCCATCCAGTGAAAGGAAAAAATAACACACCACACCCTAGCAACTTGCCTTTGCGTTCTCAGAGATACCTCTTTAAATGTTTGCACTGTGAAACTACGGCCTTTACCACTATACAGTTGCATTCAAATGTGGTGGAAACAGGTTCTGCTATGAATCACCCGCCACGGCTTCCCGTAGCACCGTTGTTCATAATTGGGCTTGACGAACGTGGCTGTTCTGGCTGCTCTGTGTTCCTTAGCAGAGCACAAACCCTTTTCTCCAGGCGGTCAGGAAGGGGTGGGTAGAAGTGGAAACCAGGAATGTGCGGGCGAGTTAACACAGTAGTAGAATTTCTCTTCAAAAAAATATCCCTGGTCAAAGCAGTGAGACATTCCCACTTTGCTTCCCCTGGCAACAACAATAAATAAATAATAATAATTTTAAAATCCCACACCAACAGTTAAGTGTCAGACATGTCGCATATATTCACCTTGGGAAACATTTGAACAGGCTCCTTTAGAGATCAGAGGCCGCTTTCCAGAGCGGGCAAAATAAGGCCTGATGCAAAGCAGATACATTTATACCAGATTCCACATCCCTGCTGCAGATAGGGCCACTGAGGTAGCAAAGGCTGTGGTTAAACCCAAATACAAATAACTCACCCACAGCTAATTGGAGGCTGACTGCAGAAGGAGAGGTCTGAGAGACAACAGTGCTTCTCCAAATCAGCTGAGCAACAAGGAACAATAAATACCCCCGGCGCAAGAAAATTTAAAACAGTATGTGAAAAACAGGAAAATGCCACATTTACCCAGAAAAAAATTACAACATTTTTACTCAGAGCAATTTAGCATAGTAATGCTGATAAATTCCAAGCCTTGTTACCTGCACTTACAGCCAAAATCTTTCAGAATATTGTAAAATAGTAAGAAACACCCCACATTGCTTCAATTAGGTTAAAGACTGAAAATACAAATCAAAGCGAGTATAAACAGAGAACTGGAAGAGATTAACATAACGCACAATAAAGAAAATCAAGTTGAAGCAGGACAGCAGGAGGGGAGAAGGAGGTACTTTCTCAAATGCAGTTCTTGAAGACAGGTCTCTACAGGTTTGCCAGGGCTCATGGAAACAAGCAGGAGTGATGACTGTCTGCTGAATAACAGCATTTTACCAGACATATAAAAGTACAAAGTCCCAATGTTCTGCTGGCTGGGAGAACAAATGCCAACTTACTGCATGAATTTGTAAGGAGTGACTCGGAATAAACAACCTACTTTGTTTTCTGCAGCACAATTATAATTCCTGTATTTACTTCATGGCCAGCTAATAGATAGTTCTTTTGATACAATTTTTAATGAACTAGAGAATTAATTCCCTTTAAGCCAGAAACAATGACTTAATAAAAACCACTCCCAATCCCGGCCTAGTTAACGCTGCAGCTCCTGTCTCGTGTGAGCCCAGGAGCACCCCGGCACACGGACTAGCAGGGAGCTCCCCGCAGCATTGGGTGACACAGGAGCTCCCTTCTAACCCTGCTTTCATTAACTGCCTTCCCAGCTCAGCCTAGGGAAAAAAAAATAGGGCAAAATAACCAAATGGGGTAGGAACAAACAGTGCATTTGTGCTGTTTAACAGAACAAGTTCTGCTCTAGGTTACCCAGTTTGGCAGAGACGTGTGTCTTCGGGGGGATTAGGTGGGAAGGGACTCACTGACAGATGCTCCTTATCCCTCGCAGGGGACCTCAGCTGTCAGGCAAGCTGCAATCACACCCTGTAATCAAGTTATTAAGTAGGGGCACAGGGTCTTGCAAACACAGTTTTACTCTGTTCAACATTTTCCTAACAACAAGAACAAAAGGAAAAAGCTTCTCATAGAAGAGAGATTACCTAAAGGTAGAATAAGAAGTGGTGACTATTTCTTTTGATTGAATGCCAGTACTTCAGACTCCTTAGTTTCCTGGTGCTGTTCTTTGTTTTCGAAAATAACATCGAAATCACACTTCCTAAGTCTAAAAGATATTTACCTATCATCTAAATAACCAGAAAAAGAGTTTAAAAACATAAGAAGTGTTCAATCAATATTGCACAGACACAAACATTAGAGCATACCATTGGCAGCCCAGAAACCAGAAACAAACGCAGGGCCTTTGCCTACAGCAGAACTTCAGGAACACCAGTGTAGGACAGAGGCACGTACGAGTCGCACAAAAGCTTTGGCACGTTCTGCAGAGCTGACTCCTAGCACGAGGTAGACGTTCTGGGGCAAACAACTCCTCATTCCCACAGGAAGCCTGGGCACCAAAGGGCACAGGGCAAGGCGTTATTTTCCAGCCCTCTCCGAGCAGGGCTCTGGGAGCAACCTTTGTGCCAGGGCAGGGCGCACGCAGCTCCCCACTCACCCAGGACGAGCTGCTAGTGCAGAAATTCTGCGCTGACACACACAGATCACCTCTTTCAGCTCTAAAGTACCAGCGCAAAAATTTTCAGCAACAATTTAAGAGTCTATAATATTTATTTATTCGCCTTTCCTATTGTTGCCATTCTGGATAAAAGAGGAAAAAAAAATGTTTCACATTCAGCTTAACTCATTTTAATTTCATCTCTCATCAACCAAAAGACCAGAACTTAAGATGTAACTTCCTCTCCCCAGATATGGCACTTCCGTGATGAAGTTAGCACACAAGCCCTTGCAGTTGTTCATCTATTGCTTAAAACATGCACGGATACTGCAGGCACAGCTTGATATTGCACACTACTCCAGGAAGAGTAGAAACGCTGGGAAAGCAAGTGCAAGTCAAAATAAACAAGCCAATTATTTAAAACCTAAGCAAAGAGCTATGGGTGGGTTTTTTTAAGTATAGATTACAAAGCCATATACCAGGAAAGCTCGGGAATTAGGAACAGAAAGGCGCTGATGAATTCAGGCCGCCCACGCGAGCCCATGGCAGCCCCTCGCAGAGCTGGGCCCCGTCGCAGCAGCCGCAGCACCGGCCTCTTCTGATTTAAAACATCCCTGGAAGCCAAACGCCTGAACGCAGACAAGCGCCCGGCTTGGTAACAACCCCGAGCAACTGCTGGCAACGCTCCAGCGCAAACAACCCCACGCTCGGGACGCGTAAAAACACTGCGGCAGGACACGAACGGCGCCAGGACGAGGGCTCACGAACTTTGCAGATGCTGACCGAGTGGCAGAAATTGCAGCCAAGCTCTCGGCTTTGCTGCTTTTAAAGCATTCCGCGGAAAAACAAAAACAAATAAATAAAACCAACGTGACCGAACCGTCTCCTAACCGGCCTTAAGCACATTAGTCACCCCCAAGCCAAGCGGCATTGTGTGAATTACCGCGTTTGTATTTTTAGCAAACGACAGGGCTACGGCGCAGCCCCGGGCACGGCACCGCCCGCCGGGGCGGGTCTGCGCGATCCCGCTGCTCCCCGGG